CCACGGCCACGGATACAGCTTCACTTGTGGAGCTAGATGGCAATGATGGTGGTGAGGCAGGTGAGCTATCGTTAGCCTCCGGTTCCGGCTGCCGCTGCACGTCAACATTGCTAACGTTAGCGCTCGATTTCGAGGGCGAGGTATGACAAAAACTGTCTAGTTTTGTCACTTTAGCTGTTACATCTCCTTGTTCTCTCTTGTCCTTTCTCTTTTGAGCGTTGCTCTTGTGCTTTGGTTTGCTGTACATTATAAATGCAAGCTATTACATTTTTTATAATGCTACCGAACTTGCTGCTGCTAGCTACAGTACAGGTTGATTAAACGGTTCGCTCGTCACGCAAGGTATCACATGACATGAAGGAAGGGAGCTAGGTCATCGGACAGACAAATTACAAATTAATTTAGGTTGCTTGGTTACTTCGAAGACTGCGTGAACCGGTCAATGCCATTGGGGCCCCAATAAAAAAAAAATTTAAATAAAAAAAAATATATATACATTTGCACCGTCGATAGTTACGCCACTGGTCAGAGTCTAACGCCGCCTACACACGGTGGCGTGCGTTGCCGCTTCAGCGCTTCTGCCCATTCACTTTGAATGGGGTGACGTCACGCTTCGCCGAACTGCATTGTGGGAGCAAAGCGTAGCTCTACTTTTGCTTGCTGCAAAAGTAGAGCAATGTTCTACCAATCAAATCCTGTTTATGCAAATCTGCCAGTACAAGCGCTAGCCAATCAAACCGCGTGTATGCTGGGAGAGCCAGACCGCAGTTCATTTCCTCATATGAAAATAATCGTAGTGGTAGGGAATCACCCGGTGCTTTCAGTCCCTGTTCACCTACCGGGATACAAACCGGAGGAGCCAGGCATGGAGGGAGGTGGCAGAGACAGTGGGTGAAACTGGTAGGTTTTCGCCTGTTTGGGGAGTTTATATCCAGTGTACTTCGTTTGAATGGACAGCTAGCAGGCATAGACAGTATTTAGCCAGCATGGAATGTTGCGTAAAATAGCACCATAGACATTAATGTCATAAATGTTCATCATATAAAGTGTGACATGTAAAACCTTTTATGCAATTGACAGGAGAGATTCATGTGATTGGTTGTTGGTCGCGTTGCTCGCGTAAACTCCCCAAGCTCAAGACACGCCCACTGCCAAGCGTCAACGCACGCCGCCGTGTGTAGGGGCCGTAACTCCCGCCTGCTTCAGCCTGATCCAAATAAGGGCAAAGAGGCGGAGCCGAGGCGGGACCTGCTGCCACCGAACTGGAAGCTCCAGAGCTAGCTGAGGCTACCAAGCTAAGCTAACATGCTCCCCGTCTGCACACTGCCGTCGCATTTTACGTTTCTAAAGTAAGCGGACATGAAACTATTCAGCAAAACTATAAATAATAATCTAAGTTATTGAGTTTTTAGGATAATACTTCAGAATCTTAAAATCCTTTAACGTTTGTATATAATTGTGCTAAATTCAACACTGGAATCAAGCAAATATGAATATGACATTAGTTATTTATATTTTGCTATCACTTAATTATACGTTTAATACATTTAAGTAAAGCTAAGGTACATGTGATGGTAGCTAGTTAGTGCTCCTACCTGTGATGAATCCTCCAAACAGCATTATAACCAGACTGTATCATTAAAACTATAAGTCCCAGTTCTAGATCCTTGACTTTAGACAAACAATTCAAAAGACAAAATCAACTAAATGTATTTAAAGACCAATCTTTATTTGAAGGTGCCTCTTAACCTGAGATATTAGTTATACAGTAATAGTATCGACAATCTAAAAAAACTGAGCAACACAACAGTTACCTTTATATTTCTTATTGTCTAAAGCATTTATTATTTTCATTTTTCCCCTCTCATATTCAGTGTGGACGGATTGAGACAGCGTGGTGTCCAGAGAGCTGCAGAGACTTCAGGGAGAAACCTCAGTGTGATGAGTGTTGGTTTGGCCAGAGAGGACTGAGGGTCTTTCCTCCGGGAGGAGTACCAGGCCTGATGGAGGAGCCCATGAGCTGATACCAACTGCACAGGCCTAGTCTGTCACTTTATTTGACTAAATGTGTATAATACTTATACATTTAATAGGTTTACACCTTCTGTCTATTATGTGCTTTTTATTTAAAACATTTTTGATTAACTTTTGGTTCACATTTCAATCAATTTAATTTGTATTTGCACTCCTGTTGTCCATTATTCTTACTGAAAATGTTAGATTACACATTCACATTTGACTGAAGATTGGCACCATTTATTTGTGACGTTGCAAACTCTGCGGTACAAGTGTTGTGAAGCTCATAAAGTGAGGCACATAGAAATAATCAGCAAATGGAGTGTAGATGTGGAAATAGGTGCATTCGATCAGCTGACTGTGTTTTTGGCCACACTTTATAAGCCTATAACCACACCTTCTCTGAGGTGCAGCGTCACAAACAAATGATGGTCCTGATGGACTACAAAAATATTCGGTGTGCAGATCTTTGTTTTCACAATAAATGTGTAGTTTATTAGTGAATATCCTGTACTGGTCTTAACATCTCATAACATCAGCTTTTAATTTTCCTCTTGAAATGTGGACCAGAGATGGAGTACTCGAGTCCTGGACTCGGACTCGAGTGCCGATTTTCGTGACTCGCCTCGGACTCGCGCACTGATTGACGCGGACTCGAACTCGGACTCGTGAATTTTTCGCCCACGATGACTCGGACTCGACTTGTACATTGACGCTCCAACTTGGACTCGAGCAGGTTTTGTCTGGAGTCAGATGCACTCTGTCCTGGCATGTGCACCTGCGAGGCAAGTTCACGTCACACCCCGCATCGTGCTGTATTCTTTCACAGATTTTGCTTCGACATTGGGAAAGAGCATGCTTGTTATGTGGAAAAAAGATTGAAGAGAAGGCTCCACAACACATTACTCTAAGGATCGAGTTCAGACATATAGGTGGGCTGTCTTGAACACTATCATCAGAGTTATGTGATCAAATCAATAAATAAAGATGCAGCAGATAACAAGAAAGCACACTTAACATGCAGAATGTCTTCATTTTACATGTGAAGTAGCCATGTGCTTTCTGGGGCTTAATCTTTATTGATATAATTTAAAGGGGACCTATCATGCAAAATGCACTTTTGTACGTCTTTTATACATGAATATGTGTCCCCGGTGTTCCAGGGAACTCACCAAGTGTCAGAAAACACAACCCTCTCTATTTTCCTCCATACCCAAATCTCTAAAAAAGGGGCTACAACGGATCTGATAAAAACTGATCCAGATTTGAACACTGTCCTGACGTCAGGACGGTGGCGCTACGGCTATTGGGCCAACTCTCCACCTATCAGGGGAATGTGGGGTTGGGCCATGGCCGGCCATTGCCGCTCGAGAGCGCTGGAGACACTGTAGTACATATGCCAGGCCTGTAAGTGGCGCTGTAGTCTGCCACAAAAGCAGCGAAGAAGACTTCCCGCGCATGGTTACCACGGTTACCCTTCTGTTTATTCTCCGCTGTGGCTTTTTTTCTCCCTCCCCGAGGCAAGCGTTTGCTCCTGCTGCTTTAATTCAATGCAATCCCTCCCCGTCGAGGCAAGCACTGTAATTCTCTCCGGTTAGTCCACCAGCAGATAGATGACAAACACCCACCTCTCCGCCTCTTCCAAGGAACGAGGGGACCGTGCGGCAGAGTTTCAGTCAGGTTTTCTTTCGCCGGTCAAGATGTCCGTTAAAGTTGAAATCTTCCAGACAAAATTAGAAAAGTGCCGGTCAAAGGTCTTCTTTGTTATTTATTGAGCTTTAAAACAAATGAATAATGACTCTATATAATAATAGGCTATTATTAAACTATATTATTATTATATTAAACACGGAGAACGGAGATCTATTTTTCTCCCCCTCTTCTGACTTGATCAGAACGCTCCCCTCTCCTGCAGGGGGGCGTGGTCAGCTGCAGCTCACAGAATCAGCCCCCTGCAAAAACAGGGCTGGAGAACACAAATAGAGCGAAATGAGGCATGGCTAAAATGCATGATCTGTTTGGTATTTTGAAAACAGAAACGTATAAATATACCATATATAGGTATGGCCCTACAATATATCATTTAAATATAGCATGATAGGTCCACTTTAAACATTCACTATAATAATTGTAGCGTCCCCGTTTAATCACGGCAGCATTTAGCTGAGTATCTCGTAGAATTCTGAGCAGGCACAAGCTCCTCTTTTTTTTTTTTTAAGCTAAGGACCCCGAACCTGCAGTTCTCTAACGGCCCGTCCACACAGCGGCGTGCGTTGAAGCTTGCCGGCGGGCGTGTCTGAAACTCGACCAACAACCAATCACATGAATCTCCCGCCCCTGACACACAAGCAGCGGTTTGATTGGCTAGAGCTTGTACTGGCATATGATTCGATTGGCTGACGCTTCTGCCGAGGCTTCAAAAGTCACAAATGACGTCAAAGATGAATTTAACGTCAAGTATGAACCCAAAACCTAACCCACCCATTTTTTGAGCGGCTTCACATACTTGGATCAGGAGGGAAAGGGGACCTTTAAGTAATAATAATAATAATAAATGGAATTTATAAAGTGCCTTTCACAGGACCCAAGGTCGCTGTACATGGTGGACAGACAAAACAAAACAGACAATGAGGAGCGAACAGAACAAGAACAAAATAAAATAAAATAAAGGAAGCCAGGGGACCAGGAAAGGACTAGGGTCCGAAGGCCATGGTGAACAGATGCGTTTTTAGTGAGGATTTGAAGATGTCCAGTGAGGCAGCGTTCCGGATCTCAGGAGGAAGTGCATTCCAGAGGGTGGGGGCCGCAACACTGAACGCCCTGTCACCCACAGTACGAAGGCGAGAGCGAGGGATGGAGAGCAGGCCCGTGTCGGAGGACCGCAAGTAAGAATAAGTAAGACAATCTCTTACTTTTGTTGAACAAGGCGTCGTTGAAGGAACGACAAAGATGATCAAAGATGAAGAAATGTTTAATGAGTCAGAATCATACATGAAGCCACCTTAGAAGTTCACCACATCTCAGCTTTTTAAAAAGACATTGTACAAGTTGTCAAATTATTAATACATAGTTATAAATGATAGCATGGAGACAGATACACGTACACAACACGTTCCCCAGAGAGAGAGCATAAGAGAAGACACTGAATTATTATTGAGTAATGATGGCTTAAATACTTTATATTGGAAACATGATGCAGGAAAACGCTTTAGGAAAGGAGAAGACTACATGAGCATGTCAGAATGAATAATAGCATGGAAAAACTGAGGAAAATAAAAATGCTGTGATCATACAGGACACATTAGCAGCGTGATGAGTCGGTATATTTGAGAGTTTGAGGTGTTTTAAATACCGGTTTTGTCCTCCAGGAAGCTCACATGTACTAGAGCAGCATGCTAATAGGGATTTTAAAAGGGGTCCAGAAGGGCCTCGGGTCTATGTAAACAGGAGAACTCAGAAACTTAATTGGGTGTTACTAGACGCTCTTGGCCAGACTACCTCATTTTATTCCTCAAGAGTCCTGAAGGCTAGTAGGCTAAACCTCCCACAACAAGACCATCGGGTCTCACAAAGACTACACCCCTAAAACGTACTGGCAATTCGTAGATTTCCATATACAATATTTCTGCCCCTCCTTTTTGGTCAAAGGAAGAATTTGACCGCAGATTATCTCTACCCCCAGAAAGAATGTTGATATTGATCGGACCTGAATTCCTTTCAATACCAACATTTTTTAACTTTCAGTGACAGGGTTTTTGAATTGATTATTTGTTCATTGCAACTTTTATGTGGTCAAAGTTACACACCAAACAATTCGGGGTTCGAAACAACCACAAACCCCAGAAAATCGGGTGTGCTACCTGTCCATCTACCACCCCTCTCTCAACACCATGACTTTTTCAATTCACTACGAGAGGCAGGCTACTTCTTACATTGGCCTTGGATGTTGAATCTAAATGGTGGACTGCTAAAAAGATGGAACACCTAGAATGTTGCATGGTTAAAAGCTACAGAGAACTGGCTCCACACACACCCCAAATTGGTCAGATTAATTAATGGATTGATGACACAATATCATTGGTTGAAGTTGGTTGGCACTAGATTACGTGAGCAGAAGTCATTTTGTTTTATACAACAAAAGGATGATTGGCCTTGGATATAAACATACAAAAATGATGCACAATATGACAGGGGATTGTGATGTAAAAGTGTTTAAAAGGCATTTTTCATTTAATCTACTTTAAACATAGTAAAAAAGTTAACCCTAACTCTAGCATCTAGCAAGTTATGTTTTCCAACCCAGAGCTTTTTCAGGTTTTGCTATGCCAAAGGAGAAACTCTGTATATATTACTACTGATTTCTAATTTAGCACTACCAGAGTATTCTTTCACCAGCAGTACTGACATAACAAATTCATTTGACAAAGAAAATAAAAATGGTGTCATGGTTGCCACTGTAGGATTTTGTCAAAATCAGTTTTGCTGATAAAGTAAAGCAAATTGTTGCGTCACCATTAGCGAGCGCTTTTTAATGGCAAAGTCAAATACAGTATAACAATGGCTGGGCGTATTTAGTTACAAGCGACCCTAGGGTAATGAGCACACACTGAACTCCCATTATGCAAAGACCTCCGTACGACACACACAGTCCAAAGACCTTTTCTGCTCATATAGAAAGTGGTTCACATTAGCTTGTAAACCAAGCATGTTCTAATAAAGCTGCTCCCCCCATGGCAACTAGTAAACCTGGTAAAGCCTTACTTCCTGGAGGACATCTCGAGAAATAATATCACAGTAAGCACTAAATGCAATGAATGCCGCCAATCCACAACCAATTTTAAATTGTCTTATTTTCCAACAGACATTTTCAGTTGTGTGAAGACAAGGAATCTGTTAGCTGCTGCACATAGGACGAAGAGCTACTGAAGCGGAAGTTTCCTGTCGCTCCTTAAGTTCCATCTTCATAATATTCATGCTTGTGAGAAATAGACATGGTAACAGTTCAACCCAAAAATAACCACTTTAAATAACACTAGAAATGGTATCATACTGTAGTTCTTGAAAGGGTTTAAAAAGATATGCCGGAAAAGTTTTCACTGATGTTTCAAACAATCTGTAAGATAACTTTGGCTCTATTTCGTCCTGACATTGTGGTTGTAATGTTTTACATAAATGTGTAATTTAATACTTACAACGCAAGTCGGCACATATACGCATTGGAATCAGACTTAACCAAAACATCTTCCCAGACAGCACAGGTGTATGCATCTGCTCAATCTTGGTACATTTATATGAAATGCACAGATTTCCGCACTTCCTGGTGAGCTTCCGGGGCACTCTCAGTTACAAAGATAATGCCAAGTGTATCCGAAGTTCAATTATTTTAACACAAAGGTCCCTTTGAGAAACTATTTCTGAGACAACGACATTGGTTACATGATTATCAAACAACAGTTCACAGAATAGTATGACAGTGGCTTACTTATAGATATCCGACAGCTACAGTATCAGACCATCAAACCTTTCTTAGTTATTTTCCCACTGTGGCCTTTGGACGTGTTCTTTACCTTTACACAGGTGACACCTTAATACAGGTATGGCTTAGTGTAGGACACACATTGAGCAGTCATGTTGCTGTTAATCTGACTCATCCACAGTTAAGTATGGGTTTTGTGTGTCAAGCTAATAGACAGAGCATTGGCTTTTGATTGCTGGTCGGTGTCATTGAGTCTAGTGAGAAACAGTTTTTACTAATTGTTATGGGCTATGATCAAATGCCCTTTGACAGAATATCAAACCTGTATAGAATGTTTAGCTAATGACCTCCTGCCCTGTTTGGTCATTCCTGCTGAGATTGGACCAATGGCATAGGTCGCAAATGGGTGTATAGTAAATCATAATGTAATGAGTATGTTAGGACGTAGACAGATATCTGCACGCTCAGTTGAGTGAGGCTAACTATATACAGTATACAGTATATTAGAAGTATCTGGCAAAACGGCAAACACCACCGTTTTTATTAAAGCCTCTCAGTGCTTTTCTGATCATAATTAATTGCAAACCAGGTAGCCAAACTGTATTAGATCAAACATTCAGTATAACATAAAAAATGTACAGTGTAATATAATGGAAAAGGGATCCCAAAGTGGCCAAAATATAAGCCAAATATTGAGTTCTGCTAGAAGATTGTGGGGAATTTTGCTAGTTTGGGAGCTTGACTAGTAGTTCTTTTTCCATGGTTCCATATCCTAAATAGGCAAAACACTGTTCACTGTTGCTTTAAAAACATTAACCTAGAGCAATACTTGCACTCTGAGCAGGATAATAAAACAATGGCCCATAACTGCACATCTTTCCTCATCTACTGCCCTGATAAATACATGAGAAAACAAAATAAGCAACAAAAAATACAATGAACAGAGATGATTTAAATGTTGATTATCTTATTAAAATGCTGAAAAGACATTGCATGACTACATAAAGTAAATAATACCAGTAATTACAACTAGAAGGAAAGATTATCAAAATAACTATTGGCTTTCACTGAACCATATAACAACACATCGAGAAGCTTAAAATAATCGAACTGGAGAAAGTAAATAAGTTAACATATCTTAAGACAGAGATTTACAATATATACATTCTGTTAAAAAAGATTTTGTTCATTGACTGGTAGCTCCGTTGTCACCGTTCAGTTTTGGCTTCCTGTTGCCAAACAGCTCGCTGACGTCAGAGTGGATCCAGGTATGTAACACTACACAAAAAGGCTTCTTTTGAGTAATCCTGGAAAGCTTAATCCCAGCCAAGTGTTTGTCTTTCAGTGGTGATCAGTTCTTTCCTACCCGGTGGCAGAATATTCCAATGGCTTTGGAGCATGGCAGAGGTCCACTCTTTGATTTGAGATAAAAAAAAATTAAAAATATATAGAATATGAATTATTTTAAAAACAGAAAACGTAACTTCACCTCCAACATTCTTGTAAAGCTAGTACAAAAAGCTTGCTTTTGTTCATGTTTGCTTATTCCCCATGGGTTACATTTTTTCTTCATATTTTCATAATTTTATCCTGTTTTTGAATTTTTTAGTTTTGCAATACATTGACTGCTGAAAGTTTGTAAGAAAAACGAGGAAGGTTTACAGCTAGTGAACAATTGTTAAGCAGGTAAACAAAATGTAAAAGCGCTCTTTTTTTTAAGACTAATATTTTTAAGTTCCAAGTGTTTAGAAAGAAGTAGGAGGCACTTAGGTCCATCTCTATGGCGACAGACGGTCACTCAGGCCACACCTCCAGGCTCAGGATTGGAAGGTCCGGTCAGGCTGGTCCAGAAGTTAACCGCTCAGTGGGGTAACAGGAGTCCAGTACTAGAAGGTGTATCTATGAAGGCTTTGGAGATGAAACATTGAAGCGTGCTGAAATAGACTGCCACTTAAAAACACAGTAGCTGCTGTTTGACTTATGCGTTCTGTCCGTTCTTGTTAACCCACTTTTTCAATGTTCCAATGAACAGTGTTGAACCTCACCCAAAAGTAGGTCCTAACAGATTTACCTAGCAGACATTTTTAGCAGATCCGTCTGTGAAGAATCATGAAGATCTTCGGGAATGTTTACCATAAAAAACGTTCCAGTTCTACATGAAGGACATTAGGTCCGATCTGGCCAGCAACAATGGCAAGACCAAGGCATGTACAATTTTCAAGGCAAATAGACAAGCCTGGGAACGATGTCCTAGAACACACAAGTATCTTATTTTAAAATCGCTAAAACATTTCTTTAGATTACTGTATACAGGTTCTCCCTCTGAACTTCTTCTATACTACACAGAAGAAGTTGAAGGTGATTTCCTGTTTGAGGACCAGGCAAAAGGACAAGCCAAATAAGAATTACCAATCAAGATTGCTCTAATGTAGGGTTGTTGAAACCAAGCTAGTTGAGCCAAACCAACCCTTATCTGACGTATTAAGGGACAAAGATAAAAAGTGTTTAGGGAAAGCTCAATACAATCTAGGTCTTGTTTTTTTTTTTTAAATATTCCAAGTTTCAGCCAGATTCTACCAGGCTTCATCAAGGTAGAACAGAAGCTGCACTGATTTAGACGGGCTGAAATGAAGATGTAAAGGACAGGAAATGATGATACCTAAAAAGGATAAGAAATCAAACTCTACCAGACCAGTACAATCAGGTTATTCCAGTTCAGTCCGGTGTGATGCAATCCAATCTTCATAGTCCATTCTTTGAACATGAGTTTGTTCGAAATGGAGCAAGACTGGACCAAACAAGCCCCGACCAATTTAGGCAAGGTCAAAGACATTTCCTTTGATTATAATTTGATGCAATGCAATGTAATCCGGTTCATTCCAATCTAGTTCAACGCAAAGTACTTCACTTTAGTTTGTCCTTTCCAATCCTTATCTGTCAGGCAGTTGGATGTTAGGAACAGTCAGTTCCTAAATCCCAAATCACGTTTCCATCACATACTGCTGTGAGTCCAGTCCAGGCTTCCGCTCCAAGACATTTATTTTCTTTCCGATCAAGTGTACTCATTTCTATTGCAGTAAATGTCTAGTCCAAATTGGAATACATCCAGCTTCCTTTCCCCTCATAATCGATTCCTATCCCAGTATGTCCAGATAGACCGGTGTGGATTTCATCATAGTAAACAGCATTTTCTGAATGTCTTTAATATTGTGGCGCTGTTGGGGCTCTCTTTGCCAGCAACCCAACATCATGTCGTAGATTTCATTGGGACAGACCCTGGGGCGCTCCAGTACCCTCCCCTGAGTTATGCACTCAATCACCTGGGAGGACAGAGAAAACACAGTGTTAAATGTGGTGAAAATTCCACACTTAAACAAGACATAACGTATGTTCTTATTCACAAAAGTGCTGGTTATAAAAGAATACATCACATATAAAGAGTAACACACACAATCTGTCACGGTTACGGGTCATTTGACAGGCAGCGATTGTAGCTCACACTGAACACTGAACACTCAGGAGGAATTTGAATTCGCTTACCAGCGACTGCTTTTTATTTAAGTGTTAAAACTTTTTGATGCAGGTAGATAAGTCTAGCATATTACATTACATTTAATTTAGCTGACGCTTTTATCCAAAGCGACTTACAATTACCAATTACAGGGACATTCTCCCTGGAGTAACTAAGGACTAAGTGCCTTACTCAAGGGCACACTAGTGGTGGTGTTCCTGGCGGGAACTCACAACCTTCCGATCTTCAGCCCACCTCACTATCCATTAGACCACCACTATCCCGACATCCAGTGTTGTATAAAAACACAATATTTTTGTCTGTTAAGATGGTCACTGTGAATTCACAAGTTTGAGCCAAGACGAGAGACTTGAGCCAAGACGAGTGGTAGTAGTCGGGTTGTTGAGAAGAGGAATCCAATATTGCAACATTTCAGAGAAGTGTAGGCTAAATAACATAAGATACTCAGGATATCTTAATAGAGGAAATAGGAGCATCTACATTTGGAATTATCCATCTAATATAACAGGAAAGACAGCATGCCTGTTGGAATCCTGGCTTGAGAGAAGTTTCACCTGTTTAAGGATAGTGTGTTTTTGTCCTATTAGGAGCTTATTAAAAAATGTTACCAAAAGAGAAAATATTTTGGAGGTATATTCAGTTAAAAATCTGTATTGAAGCCATAGGCTTCAAACCAGACCTGGGGGAACTATCCTAAAACTATTTTGGGGTTGCCTAGATCTTCTTACTCCTAAAACGTACTACTTCAGACCTACAATACGGTCAAAGATGCTCGGTGTGGGAAGTAGTGATGGGAATTCCGGCTCTTTTTAGTGAGCTGGATCATTTGGCTCGGCTCACCAAGAAGAGCCGGCTCTTTCAGCTCCCAAACGGCTCTTCATTTGACCACATACACCTTTTATAATCAAATTTAGCCCTGTTTTGACAAATTATTTATATGTGTGCACATATATCAATTAAATTGTTCAATACATCCTTTGTACTGAAGTATTCAAAAGTGAAAATTACATTTTTAATATAAATTATTTGCTGTGGCCAATTGTTTTCATTGCATTTACAGACCCTTGTAACTCTCTGATACCACCCAATGAATGCACTGACTTGCTTGTAGAACCACGCTACACAAAGCAGATAGCAACATCTATAAAAACGTAAGCATAGACATTTAAAAAAAGGGGCTACTGTATCGACATTTTAAAATTGTATTTAAAGAAAAACCCTAACAAAACCGCAGGGCTCTATTTCAGTATTAACTAAAAAAAAAAGACAGCAACAGCTGACATCAAATCTTTGCTGAGCAATAAAGATAATCATAAATAAATAACATAGTGAAAATAAATATATTGCAATGCTCAAAACAGCAGCATCCAACAGTCTCTAATCCTTGGATATTACATGTCACTGCATGCATGCACGGAGCACCCGTAGCGCGGAGATCATCATATCATTCTGTCTTGTATTACTTAACAAAAAAATATCTAAACGAGCCGGCTCCCGTCGTTCACTTAAAAGACACATCACTAGTGGGAAGTATTCAAAAACAACCGTAACATTGAGATAGATGCATGAAAAGACATAGGAACAAATAAAGATAATTTTAGATGTCCAAGGTATAGTCAGTAAAAGATCAATCTTCATAGGCAATTTTATACACCGGTAACAGATAATAAAATTGTCTCTAAGGCATGATGCAGAAAAAGTTGTGTTGGAAAATAACTATAGTGATGGCAGCTGGTTGTCTGTACGATTCCCATCAAACCTTGACTCATGAATCAAATAGAGGAAACCACAGTGCCCACTGATCAAAGCGAGGAAACCTGTAGAGCATCTTCAGCTGCTACCAAAATACCCTTGGACAGGGACGGTACGCATCTATCGTTTTACCAACTCAATTAAGATTTAACCAAGCCCACTTTTGCATTACTGTAGCTCTGCGTCATTGACGTGTAAACAGAACGTTTCCATCCCCATAGTAACAGCGCTGAAGTTATATCACGTCTACTGTAGCTTGGGAAAAACGATAAGGGCTGTTTATCAGTCAGTGCAAGTGAAACATTTCTAAAATTAACCATAATCAAAGGTTGATCTAAAAATATATTGTTGTTGCTGTTGCACTGAAATGCATCCATTTTTTTAATTACAAATTATTGTTATCATTATCTCAATGAGGATATGGTGAAATTGCGTTGAATGCTGTGAACTCACAGTATTGCTGCTTGGACCTTTAATATTCCGTGAGACTAGCTCAGACATATCTGTTGCTCCCTGCAGTCTAAGAGGGTCTATTATGTTTTTCCTTACGCTCAGCACTTTTTGCAAATGCTTCATTTCCTCTTTGTTTTCCTTTGCAATCATTTAAAGTGCCTCACTGTCACTTTCCACATGACATTGTCTACCCTCAAGGAATTTGACCAGGTAGTGAGAGTAAGAATAGAAATACAACCTATATTGTTTTGCGTTTCTTCTGTAATACAAATTGAAATACATAATGATCTCCCCCGATGGTTGGAAAACAGACTTTTAGACAAGAAATACATGATTTACTGCTATCTGTAAAGGCCTAAACTGAAATAGAGATATTTTTCTTTCTGTTTGTTATATAACTGACACATAGATACTGATTTGAGAAGCCACTAGGTGCATCGATATCAGAACAGGGCCAATGAAGTCTGCAGAGGACTCCTCAAACCAATGTGGTTCTACAATATGGTGTTTGTGTGACTGTTTATCGAAATGATCTCTTTCTGATTTCTGCATTACTCGAACGTCACAATTCTCTTTATATTTCCCAAGAGCACAAACAGATTTAGTGAATCAGCAGGGATTAAGGCCTGTTCATCAATACAAACTCACTCAATACCAACAGCAGCTGCTGAGCTGGCTTCCTGTCTGGTCCTACAAAATGGGCCTTCTCACTAAAAGGACAGGACTCTCCCTACACTCACTCACCACTCAACATGTTTCTCCTTGCAAACAAAAAACAGCCTTGTTCTTCAGGTAGTGAGCAATTAAAGAAATGTGAGTATGGTTCTTAAAACACCTTCAGTACTTGGGAGATAACCGACGGTTTAATTTTAATTAGTCTTGACAACTTCATCATTAACTGTCATCTGTCCACCTTCTCATTTTCCTCCATTCATGTACGTTTATTTTAAAGTTTTTAGATTCCTCTTAAATACATCTTTCATTACGCCACTGTACACTGATCACAGACTGTAGAAGCCTTGATGAAGTGACTACATGAAATGAATTGATTGCTGTCCAAATGTATCTCCAAAGCGGGTCAATTCTGTTATATAAATTAAACTTTAATTTTCAGATTGCAGGCTTCGTACGACAAATAAACTAAAAATGTAATTATATCAAGCAGTTACGCTTCCTCACACAAATGTTAATCTAAGTTGTAGGAATGATGGCCAAATCTGCAAACTCTACTTTCCCTTGATCTGGTCCCTATTGGTAGGTAATACAAGTCTTAAGTTAATTAATACAGACTACCATAACTTTAAACATGAGAAGTGGATAGTATACCTCATTATTGGCGAGCTGGAACCATGGCTGTTTGCCATATGTGAAGATCTCCCACAGGATCACCCCGAAGCTCCACACGTCGCTCTCCGTGGTGAACTTCCTGTACATGATGCTCTCTGGAGGCATCCAGCGGATCGGCAGCATGGTGTGCCCTCCCACCTGAACACATATCAACACATATAAGAGAAAAAGGTTTCAAAGATGAATCTGGAAATGTCTATGAATATTGTACACGCCTTTTCCCAGCATTGACACTTTTGATAATTGACACATTCACATTCCTCACATTCCCATGCAGGAACTCGCTCATACAAAATTATTCTTTCACATTAAGTTTATGGGACAGACCATGGGATTTATAATCTAAATTGGACTTCACGTTACACAGTTTCAAATCTTCAAATCTCTTGGTCCAATGAAAATAAGGTATATAAGAAAAATACAGTAGTATAATTATAAATGATTATCTTTGGCCAGTGTGTGACCTTGACATTGATCTACAAAGAAATAGGTAAAGGAAGGGATACATATCTTGGTTTGCATTTTGCACCAACTCCAAACCAACATGACCCCCAGAACGGAACTTTAAAGGTCCCATGTCATGCTTTTCCGGTTATTAACCGTCCCCTTGTGTGTTATGTAGCTTTTTATGCTAACGGTCTGCAAAGTCACAAACCCTCAAAGTACACCCTGTAGCGAGTAAAACTCTAACACAGAAAAGACAAACAGAACGCCTCATTGGAGATTTTTCTTTTTCCATCGTTTTCTTCTTATAGTGTAGTAAGTACAGTGACGTATTGGGTATAGTGACGTAACGTCTCCGCGGATTGTTCCAAATGGACCAATCCGCGGACTTCCTCACACACACACACTCAATCTTTTCTCAGCTGCAGATCCGCGGATTTCTCAGCCTGAACTCAGCCTTAGAAAGCGAGACGCGGCGGGGCTCGGCCTAGGCTCTTTCTGAGCACACACGCAGACTCACAGCCAGGCTGCAGGTGTGTGTGTGCTCGGGCTGGGTTCAGGCTGGGTTTCGCTGTGTCTCGCTGTCTTGCAGATCCCCCGTCAGCTCACACTGTCCGCTCCAGCAGCGAGCCCCGCAACGTCCCGCCAACACGGCACCCAGACCCCACGCAGCATTCTCATCTGTTTGTCATTACTGGTGTTATTTTCTGGTTGCTAACGCCATTGTAACACATAATCACTGATGTTCCGCTGTAACGGTGGTGGACTCATCAGAACAGAGTGGGCGAGCTGACCAATCAGAGCACACTGGGCTCATAGGGAGGGGGGGGCGGCAGGAGCTCCAACAAGCCGTTTAGGACAGAGAGTGAATACACATACTATACAGAGATGCTGTATGAGAAACCAATGTGAGTTTGGAAAATTGCACAATGGAAATCTATTTTAGTATACCTCAACAATGGAATTATGATCAGTAGAAATGGCCATGACATGGGACCTTTAACGTTTCTTATTTTAGGTTAAAGGCGTAACAGAGGCAACGGTATAACATTGAGACTGTTATATTACCAGTTAAAATGCACCAGAACCATTGTATTGCATTTTCTAGAAGAAAAGCATGTATATAGTAAGATTCAAAGTAATACCAAAGCCAAAAGTCTTGCAATGTTGTCAGACTGCCAACACACTAGTTAGGAAACAATATTTTATTTGACAAGAAAGTTCACCACACACATTAGAAGAATCCACAATGGAGTTTCAATCTCACGAATGATAACATTATTTTGCATTTCATATTTATTATTAATAAAGTAGGGACTTAGCACTTACCGCGTCATCTAAATGTGCCAGATTTAGCCATAGAGGGTTATTTTCACATGCAGTATTAAGCGATGATCAAGTTTAGGTTTACATCAGCAATAGCAGAATCAAATCCAGGTTCATAAAACATGTCAGTAATGGTTTTTCTCATGTTCTGTCATTGGAGCTGAGATGCACCTATTGCAGGAGAATGCAGGCAACAGGAACATTTTACAGAAAATACTTCAAATGTAAGGTTTACCAGGAAAAGACAAAACAGAACTTCACGTTACAAGATATTAAATGCTGCAACAATGACTAAACAGAAATCCAGGACTTAAAATAGAATCTGAACTAATGAGGGCATAAAGTGCAGGTGTACAGGAGGTCAGGTGATCGCTGGGCTAATGGGGAACAGGTGAAACTATTAAGGCCAGGACAAAACAATCAAAAATGTCGGGAAAACACACAAAGACAGGAAGTAAAAACAGATATGACACAGGGAGAGAATACTTTTCAAATTAAAACAGGAAACAGAAAACTAGGATCATGATATGGTAACTGTTATTTAGCCTAGATTTTAACAGCCGACATACAAATGACCTTCTTTCCTGATTGTATGTAACTTTTTTTCAATAAAAATATTCAAGTCTCCCAGTCTTTGACTTTTCCTGAAAGTGTGTTATGTAGCACCCTCTGTTGTTAAAAATTGTCAATATGAAGTCAGATTGAAAAAATGGCCAAAAACATGGCCATTTATACCCATCAGCGCCAGCGGGTAATATAAAATGCAGTGATTTCACGCTATTGATCATTAAACATAAACATGACGTGTTGCTATAGCAACGCCTGTTGTCTACTGCGGTTCCTTATAGATGGAGAGATAGATATATATATAGATAGATAGATAGAGAGAGAGAGAGAGAGAGATAGATAGATAGATGGATATATAGATAGAGAGAGAGATATAGAGACACTTTGCACATAACTCACGTTAGCGATATTTTATACTTCATGCTATCTGCACGAACTAGGTATCAGATGAAAGAGTCCACAGATTCTATTGGTATAAGTTTCATCACTGTGCGATCAAAACTCACTGTTAACCCTGTGTTCTGGTATGATAAATAAAAGAACATTGTACCTTGAAAATCAATGCATTCTAATAGCGGGTACATTTTACCTGTTGGTGGTTTTAGGTATACAGCGACCCCTGGCGGTTCTAGTGTTAAACAAACAAATTTAAGTTTCAAAGTTCTTTGAAAAACACTAGCTAGTGGCTGCAAATCAATAGCAGATGCAACCTGTGACATTTCATAATGAGTTTGCAAATTTAAAACTGACTCCTCAATATTGATAATAATGGTTGATAAAATACCCAATACAGCCTACTGAGTCACTTCCTGTGGATTCTGTAATTTTAAGGATTTTTCCTTTAATCACACATGACGATGGTGAGGATATGAGAGGAAAGTCTTATCTAACCGTGTGTAGATCAGACAGTGGATGAATCATTATTCATCTGCTCTCGCCCGCTCCCCGACTGCTGTGAAATCAGAGAGCAGCTTGACTAATTTAGTCAAATATGTGCTTCCTAATCAAGACTCACATAATGGATGACCTCCAGTGTGTCGCTGACTAATCGTCCTTCCTGTACGCCACCCCATCCTCCCCTCCTTCCTCCACTGACAGCCTGATTCACCTCTTCCTCTTGGCTGCCATCCTTCACCCATTCTTCCATCGTGATTTTTGTCAATATTCCATAAGCACTGATACAACTTTATTTGAATCTGAAGTTGGTGATTATTACTAAGTGTAACTCAGTGAATGGGAAATCATTACATTTACTATCTTGTAAGATACAGTTACATTGTGGAAGGAAGGAGAATATAGCTGGCGTATCGCCCCAGTTTAGATCCTGTAGTCCTTTTAGACATTACCCATTTAGCTTTTAACAGGCTGTTAATGTGTCTAAACGATGTCTCCTCGTCAATTTGCTTTGTGACTTTTGGCTACTTGTGTACAATTAGCATCACACTTCAATACACGTGTATGACATGAAATATGATATATTTTTTAGAAATATAATATATCTCTTCTGAGTCGGTTTATTGCCAAGTAGGTTTACTCACTCAAAGTTCATATTATTTCAACTTTGACCTCATTACCGCTGATCTCTTGTTGCACAGCCAATCAGATGACAGCTGTATGTATGTAAAGAAACCAAACTAAACTGTCTGTTTTCAGCGCAAGGCTTTGCGCCAAAACCTCTAGGTGAGCAAAGAGCAAATTGTGTATTGTGCGAATGCAGCATTATTGTTTCACTCATTCATATTATCCACAAGTACATTCACTGCTTCCAGGTTTTAAAAGTTTAATTCCACCATTAACTGAATCTTTTTTTTTTTTTACTATTATTCAGAAATAACAAAAAAGGTGGTGGTTGTCTACCATTTGCAAGGTCAGTGGTTCCATCTCCAGTTCTTGCGGTCCACCTCTCGTTATGTCCTTGTAAATATAATTAACCCCAAATTACCTCCAATGGCATGGCCAAAAGTGTGTGAATGGTGACTTGTGTATGTAAAAGCGCTTAGAGGGGTCGTAAATGCTGGAAAATCGCTATATAAATGCAGTCCATTTGCCATTTAGGTCAAGCAGTAAAACCAAGTCCAATGTTCAAAACTGAGCTGCTACAAGGGTAGAGATTGCATCTTTAGTTTTTTGACATTTTTACGGTTTGAAGCCCCGATTGGGAACAGCTACAGGCTTGCAGGACAAAGGTTAGCACTCTGTTTGACCCTGAAGTTCTGGATGATCAATCTGCTCAGTATGAGCTGCACACAGAGTTCCCAGAGTTCCGTTTGACTGCAGGCAAACAGTCTGTACATGGAGGAGAACCTCCGAAGGAAAATGATATCTTCCGTCAGTTTGGCTGCATGTTAATCAGCTCCAGTGGGAGTGTACGTGTGCCTGTTCAGAATGTGGGATTCTACTTTCTAAGACATGAACGGAATTAGACTGTCAATAAAAACAGGAAAAATAAGTTATGTCAGCGACATTTCTCAAGGAGAATGCAATATAAACAAGGGAACCAGTTCACTGCTGATACAAGAGGTTGAATAAAAAATGCAGTCAGCCTTTCCTGCTGCTGTCTACCAGCGGCCCTGCTGAGATGTTGGAGCCATTAAAAAGAAACCCGTCCACTGAAGCTACTTAGGAGGATGGGACTCAACGGAGGCTTTGACATTTAATGCCAAAAACAAATTATTTCCCACCCTGCCAATTACAGCGCTGAAAGAGTCTTCTGAAAATCCCTATTTGCTGCTGTTGCCGTTTTCTATGAAGACAAACCTCTTCTACACAGACAGAAGAATGTTTTTTTACCCCCTGCCTTGCTTGGACCGCAACCATTTATGACCTTGATCTTTATTTTGACCGGATTATATCTGTGGAACTTTGTGACTGCATCTTGAATGGTTGTGACACAAGTGATGTGACAGACTTTCTAGCGCCTTTCTACTCACTGACAACTCAAATAGCTTCACATGTGAACATGTATTATTTCACACACACATCCCTACACTGATGGCAAGGCTTCAATACAAGATGCCAACTTACTGATCATCTAAAGGTCATTAACACAAGTTTGCACATAACTCTTTTGCCCTGGTTCTCAAAGGAGCACCTGGAGATGTTGCTTGGTGCGCATCCTTAAAATGAAATAAACCGGACCTCTTGAGGGGTACTTGACTTTATGAAGGGGGGGGGGGGGGAGGTGCGCTAGTGAGCACGCTCATGAACTGTTCGCCCGTGCCTCGCAGCAGGGTTACTGTGTGGAGTGCATAAAGCAGACCCTTCACGCGATAGCGAGGGGTAGAGCGAGGGATCGTAGATGCCGTCGCGCTCACGGACAGATTAAAAAAATTAAACCTAAATGGCTCGCGAATTATACTTTGGCGGCCGTTAATATACCTGGCGGCCCAGCCCAAGTAAAGTTCTATGTGTGGGAAAACCCTGCTATCTTACCAGTTCTTATGCAATCGCAAATATCTCTCTCTCTCTCTCTTTTTATTCTTCTTTATGATCTTTCTCTCTCTTCTCTCTCTCTCTATCTCTCCTCTCTCTATCTCCTCTCTTCTCTCTCTCTCTCTCTCTCTCTCTCTCCTCTTATCTCTCTCTCTCTCTCTCTCTCTCTCTCTCTCTCTCTCTCTCTCAATGTTCGTGCGCAAATGTGCTTTTTTCAAATGATCCGGTGCTCCTTTTTTGGCAGGGGGTGCGCATGCGCACCTGCGCACCAGTTATGTGCAGCCCTGGTCATTGACATACATTCATGAGCACTTTGGTCAAAATCTTTCCTAAGAACACAAAAGGCCAACTAGAGGAGCCGGGGAATGAACCACCAATCGTCTACCTACTATGCCGTGGCCACCATAAACAGTCCATGTAAATAGCAATAAATTAAAATGCAGAGGGCCGTCGAAGATTATCGGCGGCTCACTGCCCTCTCTGGAGGACCCATTCAGCTACCCTGCCTCAGCAGGCAAAATAATAAAAGACCCATCCCATACTGGACGCCATCGGTTTGATCTTCTGCCCTCAGGTCCGTTAAATGACGAACAAATGGACATACAAAACAGCTTTTGCCCTAGAGCCATATGTGAACTGGATACTGTCAAACACTGAACAGCACTGTTTACACATACTATCAGCACTACAATACATTCAGTTAAAGACACATTTAAGATTCATTTTTGATTTATATCTCTATTTATTGGCTGATTCAACCAAGAATTCAAAATCTCACCGTCTGTCATGACACATCAAATATTTTATCTTTTAGATGTATCGTTTTCTATTCTCGTTTGATGTGTAAATGCAGTGTCATGTTGCTATTTCAATTTGTTTTATTTGTTGCAATGACCATAAAGGAATTCGATTGTATTCTATCTTGGAATCGGCCATAGTGTGATGGCGATTTAGCATTTTGTGAGCAAAAAAACCCCACTGTCAACAGACTACTTTTGAAACCTGGGACACTCAATATCACACACATTACAAATGAAATTTTTTTTTTTTTTTTACTAGGAAGACATTATTGATGATGGTAACACCAATGACCCTAGCACCAAACTGTTTGCTGTCTTCGCCCGCAGTTTGATACTGGCACATTCATTTGGCACTGCAAACATGATTTCAAAACATCTAGAGTCCTGTGTAAGCGTAGTGTTTAATTTGAGTGTTTTGCATGAAAACAAAGATATTCTTCTTACCCTGTAATAATCTGTGCTGTAGATGTCTCTGGACATGCCAAAGTCTCCTATTTTGACCAGAAGGCCATTCCCCACCAAGCAGTTCCTTGTTGCCAGATCACGGTGCACAAAGTGTTGAGACGCCAAGTAGATCATCCCAGCTGCAATCTCACTGGCTATGTGAAGCATCTGCGACAGACCCAGCTCCCCATTGGTCTGCAGAGGCTGTCCGTCCACCAGGATCAAGGCGTCCGGCCCGTGGGCTCTGAGGGAGAAGGTAGAGAGTGAGCGTAGGAAATACTTTAGATCAGAGAAGGTATGAGACATAATCAGGCAGTCTAAGGTATCTTAACAGTTTTGTTTTTAAACGGTGATATGGCTGGTTTTGTTGCCCATTACCTCTAGATTGGGTATATTGCAAATGACTGCTGACAACTTTCAAAAACACACAACCAATTTGATTTGCTTCCTTTTAGCAGCCATTGTTTAAATATTAGTGAAAATAATTTTGGCTCATTGAAAAAACAAGTCAGAGACTTCCGCACTGGAATGGTTCGAACCCAAAGACAAACCCTTTTCATAATATATTGCATTTTTATTTTTTCAATTTTTTTTGAATGCTTGCCGATTCATATTTCAGTTCACAATCGCTGTTGTTTTTTAAAAATAAATCACACTTTAATATGTCTCTTTTAGTACCTTGGTTGGTCACTTTTCTAAAAGTTACTTATTTAACTTTCATCTCCAACTTTACAGCAGAACTTCACATGTTTGAATTGTGCAACCCAAAGAGTGTTTTGGTCTCTAAAGCAAATGTCCCTACTCTAAATATTGTGCATTAGTAAAAGATGGGTGGCATCAGCACCAAGATGGCCGCCGACTTCAAAAACGACCCTATGATATTTCATACAGTATACGGTGTGATTTCATTGGATTATTTTTTGGACTGGTTCAGTCTATGTTCATACAATGTCAAAATGCATGTGGAAGTATAGTGGGTACGGTGCAGGCTGTAATTAGTCAAATAATATAAGCATGGTGTAAATATTTCCCTTGATAGGCTCAGAGTCAATTGCTCATGTTTGCGTAAACTAGAGGGGAATAACTCACACCAGTGTGATTCTGGTGAGATTTTGACCATTCTGACCGAAGTTACAGAGGGGGTGCCAAATCCGGCAGCAACAATGCCAGCTCTGCCAGATTTAGAAGCACTCCCTTTATTTTTTCACCTGATAGGCTCAAACTAAATTGCTTTTGTTTGCTTAAACAACAGGGGGATAAGACACACCAGCGTGATTTTGGTGAAATGATGACCATCCTGGCCAAAGTTACAGAGGGGGGGTCAAATCCAGCAGCTATAACACTAGCTCTGCCAGATTTACAAAGCCCCCTTTAACCAGGCCCTTGGATCTGGCCATAGATATGGTCCTGATAGAGGGACATGTTCGCAATAGAGGACAGAGTTGCCAAAAAAACTTCCCTCATTCCATGATTTTTAACTGAGTGTGAGTAAGAGACTCTCTCACAGTCTACTTTATGATGATTCATCTAGAATGAACCGTCTAAATGTCTTCTAGCCAGTGGCACTTTGTTTGAGCGTCAGTGATGTGGCACAGTGGTGACCATTAGGTTCAAATAGTATGTCATTTTTGGATGGAGCAATGGGTTACAGTGCATGTATAAAGAGAACTGGATACAGTGTTGGAGGTGGGGCTCATTTATTCCAATGAAAGTTGCTCAGTGGTGCATAAAGCCAAAATGGCCATATTGTGAGGTTTCTTTTTTACAGCTAGTAGATCCTATTGATTTAAATAAAGGCTATTCAAGGGTTGGTACTGGGTAGTTGATTTAGCTGAACCAAAAAATACATGCTGGTTCACAGACGTCTCTTTCCGTAAGAAAGTCAACATAAGTTGTAGTACCTCTACAGAAATTTGCTTCAATGTCCGCCGCACTTCCATGTTGGCTTGGTACAGTGACTGAGGAAGGACAGGCAGTGAGCTCAGAAGACCTCTGTGTGTGTGCGTGCGTGTGCGTGTGCGTGTGCATGTGCGTGTGTGTGTGTGTGTGTGTGTGTGTGTGTGTGTGTGTGTGTGTGTGTGTGTGTGTGTGTGTGTGTGTGTGTGTGTGTGTGTGTGTGTGTGTGTGTGTGTGTGTGTGTGTGAGAGCATGGCGGTTTTGGAGGGCAACGGTTGCTGGCTAATTTAGCAGTATGTCCTGGAAGAATTGTTGCCAGCACTTTAATGGAAACACAATTACTGAGCTGAAATTAGCATCCGAGGGACAGAGGGACTCACTAAAACACTGGAACAGGTAGACTTTGCTTCCAGGCTGCGGACTAAGTACCAATGTTCTATTCTGCAGGGCAAAGCGTCCTGGGAGCAAATAGCATCTAATCACAGCGGACATAATGCAGCTCATTAGCTTACCAACCGCAATTTACAACTCGGACATTTAGCCTGTGCTCTCATCCAGAGCAGCTTGCAGGCAATGAGCAGGTAAGGCTGCAGAGTCGGACCTTTTTCTGTTAATAAAAAACTAAGGTTAGAACCCCAGGACCAAAATAAATTCTCATCTAATGGCTCCCAAATGAACAGCTCATGTATTGTAAAGAAGCTGTATTTACCCAGTGCATTCACTATTGGGGCACTTGATTACAGAGAGTTATTTATTATTTATAACATAGCAATAAAGTCATGCTTTCAATAACGATCCACTGATGTTTCAATCTTGTAGGACATCTCTGACAGATGCACAGCTCCAGAATATCAACAAAAACTCCTGAATTAAACACTCAACCTCTCAACAATATCTTATATACTTTATTGTATATTATATATGCAAGGATATGTACACTTGATTAGAATTATTATTTTTTTCTTCTATTCTCCCACACAGTCCCCCTTTCCAGAAAGTCCTCCATTGGACTCCTTTGTTTACATAATGACATCACTCAGTACTGGTACTGGAGGATTACCCAATCAATTTTGGAGGATTTAAGTCCACAGGCAATGTTTATTTCCAGTATTTTAAGGCCTCGGACGGTTTGGCCACACGAGGCCGACATGGAAACGCAGAAAACGATAACGATAACAATAACGGGTCCCTAGGTGGGACCCGTTTGTTTTAAAGCTCAATAAATAACAAAGAAGACCTTTGACCGGCACTTTTCTAATTTTGTCCGGAAGATTTCAACTTTAATGGACATGTTGACCGGCGGAAAAAAATCGAACTGAAACTCTGCCGCACGGTTACCTCGTCCCTTGGAAGCAGTGTTCATTTCGTCAACGAAAAATGTTCATCAACGACCTTTTTTACATGACTAAGACGAGACTATGACGAGCTAAAAATAGATTCTTGATAACGAAAATTTGACGAAATGTATATTTAGTTTTCGTTGACGAGACGAGACGGGACTAAGGTGTTAATGGTGGACTATCGGACATTCAAAATGCAGGGTATTTCCCCCCAAGTGTCCGTCTTGTCTGTCAAAATGCATCTTACATTTCTAACTTGCAATATCATTATTTCCGCTCTCTTCACTCCAGAAGAGCGATCTCCCTGTGTCTCTCTGTGTGGGGGTGGGGCCTAACGGACATGCTGCAGCGGCACACAGAGATCTGCCGGGGACGGAGCGTTCAGAAGTATAGAGACACTCTACAAGGCTCGATGTGGACAAAGCTCGTTTGCCATGTTTTCGCGTTAGCGCGTTGACACGAGTAGAGTAGTCTGTCCAAACAGCTGGCCAAAAGGCGTCATATTCAGTCGGAGAAATGCACAATTTTCGACTTCCTTAACTCGTAGCTCTGTTGCCCCAATTACGAGTAACGTTATCACATCAGGTGTGCAGAGGTGGGAGAAGTACTCAGATCTTGTAGCTAAGTAAAAAAATACCATAGTGTAGGAAGAGTTCCTCAAGTCAAAGTATGATCATCAAAATATATTTAAAGTAGCGACAGTAAAAGTAGTCATTGTGCAGATTGGTCCATTTCAGAATAATATATATGATATGTTTTATAATGATTGATCATTAAAGTGTTCTCAAAGCTGGTAAAGGTGCAGCTAGTTTGAATGATATATTATATATCTGTATACTGCAGGGTAGCTTGTGAATTTACTAAAGTCTGAGTTAACACTTGATTATATTTCACATCATTCATCCACATCTGTAAAGTAACTAAAGGTATTAAATACATGTAGTGGAGTAGAAGTACACCATTTAACTATGAACTGTAGTGGAGTAGAAGTACACAGTAGCAAAACATTTAAATACTCCAGTAAAGTACAAGTACCTCAACATTTTACTCAAGTACAGTACAATATTTTAACATAATTATATATATTTCACATTTAAATAAAGCAATTAATTCGGTTAACAATTTGTTAGTTTTTTCCTTTAAAAAATAACAAAAAGTAAATACAAGAATACCGTTAAAGTACCGGATCGATAAGCAGTATTGATAAGACTAGTAGTACCGTAGAAAACCTTAACGATACCCATCCCTAGATATTACACAAGTAAAGTGTTAAGAGAGTGAATTGTTGCTTTACGAATTTCAACACTTGATGCTGTCACCTTGATTCCAATGTCAGAAACCTGTATTTGCCTAACTGAATTGGTTTAAAGAGAGAAAACATTTTGACTAAAAGTTGACTAAAATGTAATTTTTCATCGACTAAAAGTAGACTAAAACGTTTTGATTTTTCGTCGACTAAAACTAGACTAAAACGTTTTGAGTTTTCGTCGACTAAAACTAGACTAAAACTATGAAGGATAGAAATGACTAAAATGTGACTAAAACTAATAACCATTTTCGTCTAAAGACTAAGACTAAGACTAAATCAAAAACAGCTGCCAAAATTAACACTGCTTGGAAGAGGCGGAGAGGTGGGTGTTTTTCATCTGCTGGTGGGCTACCGGAGAGTAGGAGCAAACGCTTGCCTCGGGGAGGGAGAAAAAGAGCCAGAGCGTCCACAGCGGAGAATAAACAGAAGGGCAACCATGGCAACCATGCGCGGGAAGTCTTCTTTGCTGCTTTTGTGGCAGGACTACAGCGCCACTAACAGGCCTGGCATATGTACTACAGCGTCTCCAGCGCTTTCGAGCGGTCTCGTGTGAACAGACACGTTTCTGTTGCCTGTTGCGTGTGGACGGAATACTTTTTTGATAACGATTGCGGTCCGTTTGCGTTATCGTCCTCGTGTGTTTAAGTGTTTAATTCTCATTAGGATGCGTTTGTGGTGTAGACTGGGGTGAATATTTGC